CTTGAAATAGGGAACGATGGGTTCAAAAACCAAAACTAAAAAAGGTTTATAGTATGGCAATAATTTATTTCAACAAAGAAATATTGAAAGTGAAGGAGGAAAGGAAAAAAGAAAGATAAATGAAAAAGGAAAGGAAAAGCTTCTGATTAAGTCTGTCATAACTTAAGGCAGCTATGCCAAAGCTCCCAGTTTGGTCCAGCAATTTCACAGGTATTATAACAGGAGGGTAAATCACTACTCCTGGGTGTCATTTGTATTTCATTACTTCTTAAGAGTCCTCAGCCAAAACCAGATCTCCACCATGTGAGACTCTGCACAAACAATAAAGAAACACCACCACCCACAGACAACTCACAATGTATAGCTGTAAATCAGGATTATCATCACCTGTAAAGGGCAGCAGCACAGGATGGAGGGTTTGATTTAAAGAGCACAGAGGTCAGTGGAAATCTTTCAATTCTTTCAGTGTGCTTTGACTCATGGAAGAAGCAAAGCACCAGATCATGCCTGAAAAAAATAAGCCATTCTCTTCCACTGAAGCCTCCAAGTCATCCCACCTTTCTCTGCGGGACAGTTATTTGACACAGATGACTCTGAGCAAAGGGAACTGATCTCTTTTATGCCATGGCAGAACAGAATGCAGGCTGGGGATCTCTAATTCTGACAGTGGCACTCCATTCTGCCAGGGCAAACAAATAACTTCCATTCTAAGGGAGGAAAAAGATATTCTGTAGATGACTGGGACACAACACCACATTTGCAGTGAAGTTACATATCATTTGAAGTGGAAAACCAGGGAAAGTACTTTCTTCCAAATAAAATCAGTAACAAAAAAGGCTATGAAGTGTAACAAGAAATAATAAAATCAAAGGTCACAAGTTACATATGTTTCTAGTGCTGATTCTTCCCTACAGCAAAAATTCAATTTACAGATGACAGCCCTGCAAGGCAGTTTGCTGGTGTAGATCTCTTCCCCTTCTACTGCAGTTCAAGGGATTCCCAATGGGTGTAAGAGTCTGCTCCACACCGCCTAAAATGATTTACTTGCTCAGCCGCTACAACTCTTCCATCTCCTATCTCTGCTGTGTTTGCTAGACTAAGCAGAATCTACCCATCAATAGTACTTACTCCAACTTCTTCAGTTAAATGGATTTTAATTGAAAATGCTTTTAATGGAAACAGGCTAGTTTCACTAACAAAACTGCACAAGTCTGGAATACCTGAGTTGAAGGATACAGAAAAAGTCACCCCCCAAACACCCCACAGGCCAGCAAGATGGATGTTCACCCAAGCTCTGAGTTCAAACCCATGCTTCAAATCAGAGCTCTGAACTGAAACTCCACATGTCTGAAGGGAGTACCTTAACCTCGGGGCTATGAACTACTCTGGAGTGCTGTCTTTCTCTCAAGGTTAGAGTTAATTTCTGGGAGGGCGGACTTTTTTTTTAAGTGAAAATTTCTGAAAGCTTCCCTTTTCATTCTGAATCAGAAAAAGACAAGAACAGAGGTCTGGTTTTGAAAGGTTATTGAAAAATACTATGGGCCAGCACTTCAACTTTCACAAATCAACGTGCTGGCATTTAAATCAGGGTAACCCTCTTGACTTGACTAGCTTTCAGCTTGACCCAACAGAAACAGAAACGATGTAAGCCTTTTATGTTCAATGAAAACTAAGAAGTGAATCTGATGAACAGAAGAGAACAATTTATTTCTCAAAAATCCTTGCTCTACTTAAGAAAAAGGCAAAAAGTATATTCCTTGTAAAAAAAACACACATTCAATTCTTTAAAACATTTGTCCATGCAAAGTTATGGGCACAAGTCCCGTATCCTTAGCTAAATTTTCACTGGTTCATAAGAGATTTCTGTGATACCTTTCCCACACCTATGAGGACATTTTACTGCATGAATGTTGCATATATTAAAACAAGCCAAAGTCTCCTTCACTTGATCAAGACAGAACTGCCACTTATCGACTCACAGTCATAAGGTAAGCCTATTTGGCCTACTCTCATCAGCTTAGAAGGCAATGTATTTTATAATAAGACTGTCATCCATATGAACTTCAGAGGTATAACTTGTCTCTTTTGAACTGTGCCATATAGAAAAAAATACTGAAATAAACCAGAACCTGCACAGGTATCAGTACAGGAAAAGGAAGACTGACTCATTTAAATAAATAACCAAACCAATCTCAAATCACAGACTGTACACAATTCTCGGTGATGCTTTGGTCAGAACTATGCACCATCATAAACTGTACAAAGCAATTTCTGGCAACTTTCAGCAGCAATATAACCCCAAAGCTTACTTCCGATTCATGTAACAAGTCAAAACAAATCACTGAAGCACATGACTACATTTTTAACCAAGCCTGGGATATACTAAGGTACGTGCAGGAACTATTTCTTTCCTTCTGTCATGGGTATAATTAAGACTTGATATTTGGCTGCTCTGCAGTGCTCTGTCATGTTTCCAAATGAAGATGCAGTTTATGATATAGATGTTGCTACCATACATGTGAGTCCATTTGCTTGCTGCCAATATAAAATACTTTTAAAATATTGTATTAGTACTTAATTGCAACATAAATAGGCCCATATTCAGCAAGAGCCTAGCTTTAAACATCTGAATAAGAGCTCAAGAGCTCACTGAAGTCCTTAAAGGTAGCCAGGTGTTTAAGTACTAAGTTGAATCAGGGCCAAAGTCAGCATAAGTGCCGACATGCTATAATATAAAGGTTTAGTATCAAATGAATAATAAGGCCAATACAAAGCTCATTTGGCTGAATTTCGCTGTCATTAAACTACACACAAACATAGTTCCTGGAGATACCTGATCTAACAGAACTCTAAGGTCAAGTAGAATGATCGCTCCCATCTATGTCAATGTGAAAACAAAATTATTGGTTTGTGAATACAGAAGTTCACTCAAGTGTAAAATTGTTTGAGATAGATTTGTCCGCACACATAACAGGAACTTAAATCTTTATCTAGAAATCTGAATAACAAAAAGCTACCTATGAACCTGACAGATCTGTGATAAAAAGTATAGAAGAATTCATAAAATCCTATTTAACACTTCATTTAAAACTGCAAATGACTTGATAATGATCTGGGTATCTTTCTACTGTATCTCCCTTTTCAGAGGACTTCATTACAACGAAGAAAAATCCTTCTTCTTTAAATGTTTCAAAGAAAACTGAATGCTGATAGAGGAACATGAGCTCTGACTTTTTTGAATGTCCATGTCATTTGTGAGATGTGTTTAATATCAACACTCTTTACATTTAGCTGCTGATATGTGGCAAGAATACTAGAAATGTAGGTCTGCATCACACAAAGACCAAGTCATGGATGTATATTCTTACCAGTGTGTTGCTTATGGTAGAGTCTGGGGAGTCTGCCATCATATAATGTGTCACTTTATATAAAATAAGTCTGGGAATTATTGAAGTCATTGTCATTTCATATCACAAAAATATCAATGTTAAATGTGCCTTTAAAACATTTATCAGTCATGTGTGTCAAGAAGCAAGAGATGAGGAATATTTCATGTGAGTAAAATGCAGATAAGTTAACTTGACAAGAACATGTATTCACTTAAGGATGGGATATGTCCCTCTTGGCATGGACATCATACTGTGCAGAATCTCCAAGAATTTAATTAGAGCTTGTAATATAGTAATTAACTACTGTATATTGAAACCTCTTTTTTTTTTTCCAGTAGTGTGTATGGATTATTATCATGAAAATTATCATGATGGAAGAAAGCAATGGCACTAGAAAACAAAAGCTACTGTCAATCTACAGGCATTATAAAGTGCATGGTGGGCTTTCTCATCTCTCTGTCCTACCACTGACCTCACCTTGTACCTGACTTCTTATGGCACCTTCTCTGAATTACATAAATCATGCATTAAATATTATTTATTTTTGATAGCTCTCCAAAAATAATTCCACCTCCTTAAAGAAAAGATAATAGCTGCTTCAAAAAGTCAATAGGGTACATTCTCCCAGTCTTTAGATATTTTCCACAACTTGTTAACCATAAGTATTATTGTTTTTATGCAGAAAATAAAAATTCATTCCAAACCTTGGCCCATACATAAAATCAGACACTTGGAATCATTGAAAATGCTTCCTTTTATAATATACATCTCTTAGAACTTTGGGGGCTTCTACAAGTAGCAGTTTTATTCTTCCACACATAGCATATAGAGCATTGAGATTTACTAAGTAATCCAGACCAAATCAGGAAGTGGGAGTGGGCCTAAGCAGTGTTCCTACCTCCACCATCTATTCTCATGCTGAAACCAGAGCCTAGTACAATAAAAAGGGAGAAACTGTTCAACCACATGTGGCATATGCTCCCACAGGCATGTTTCCTGAAGCAGGAGAGAGGACAGGGCAGATCTGACAAGGTGATAGGCTTATCTCCCCTGTGAATCTACATTTGAATTCTGAATCTTGGAGATCTGTAGGTTCAGCTCTGATCCCCCAATCAACTAGCAAATCCTGAACCTAATCCTTTACTAAGAACTCTTCAAAATTTCGTGTTTATAAAAATGATATCAGGATTCAATGGACACGGAATAAAAACATACACGTATATTATTTCAGCTTGATCTTTGTTTGGGTGGGTGATCTTAACCACTTTTGTTGTCATTTCTCCACCCATAAAATAGCAATAATAGTAACTTACCTCTTTGATAAAGTACTTTGAAATCTGTGAGTAAAAAGCACTATGTAAAAAGCTGAATTTCATAATTAGGTGTTATTATAGTCTAAGTAGTATTTGGCAAAAAATAAAGAGAATATAAAAGCATCCAAGCTCTGATTTATTGTTACTTAGTTCCTGGGGGTAGTCTTTCAGACTATCTTCGCCTTCTTCACTCAGCTGTAGTAAGCTTAAACCCAGCATTAGAGAAAATGAATGTTAATATGCTCCGGATAAAGGCACCTCCCAAGCATTTGCAGACATGATGGTGAGACAAACTTACCACAGCTTCATGGTTTACCATGTGCCAACTGAGCCGTAACTTCCTGTGGGGATGCTCTCAGGCTGTTGCAACTGCCTTGGAAAATCTTTACACTGTGGTAACTCGATCACTTGGAAAAAGTAGCTTCTGCCCCAGTTTCCAATGCCAGAATTGTCATTGATTGTAGAGACTTAATTCACAGTTGTTCTGGGATGGACACACTTCAGCTTCTACTTGTCCTTTGAAATGAAGTCAGGACAGACTTTTTGTTGGTAGGTGAAGAGTTAAAACCAAAATGCCCACCCCATGTCCTCATGCTGCTTCCCAGGACCCTCTGGACATCTTCCTGAGCCTTGGATGCCCACTCCCACCCCACAGCCACTGAGAGGTCTCCTCAAGGTCTGCAGGGTGGTTCAGGCCCCTGCACTCCCCCAAACAGGTCTTCACACAATCAAGGAGGGAAGAAGCAAAGCCATCAGGGACATATCAGCTGGAGCAGCCATCTGCAGCCATCTGGCCCCACCCTGACCAGCAAATAGGGGCCAGGGCTGCTCTTTGGTTAGTGGCCATGTGGCTAAATGCTCCTTCCTGCCCCTGAACATGGCATTCTCGCCAGGAGCAGTGCCTGACCTGCCTGCAGTAACTGCCAAACTACTTCTAAGCCATGTTGGTATAAAGACTGTTGAGCCTAGGCCAAAACTATGGCACCGACTGCTCCAACAGTGTGCAGAGAAAGCAGCATGCGGGGGCAGACTGGATGGCTGTGGCACAGCTCTGGGGGATGCAGGGACCTCCATGCCAGCGGCTGGGCCACGGGTGGCTTTGGAACATGCACATGAAGAAAGCTGAGGGTGTTTGGAAGGACCTGCTACTAATGTTACCTCACCTCCATCTCACACATCAAACCTCATCTCAGATGACCAGGAGGAGGCCTCACTCTTACGGCCTTGTCCTTCCAAAATTCCAATTGTTTGATCTCTTGGTGACTTGGTTCCACCTCCCTGTCTTCCTCTTTAAGTGCAGTCAATGACATTTATTGAGTCCAGCAAAGGGCCCCGAAGCCTACAGACCAGAAGTATTTCAGTGCAGGACCTGGGAAAGGGCAGCATGTATAGAGGGCTCTGGAGAAACCTCTTCTCTGCACACTATCAGCTGGCCAACCCATCATCAGAAGGTATCACCTAAACCCTGCCTTTGAGACTTCCCTGTCTGCTCCTTTGGTCCTCTGGAGGACAACAAGGACATCCCATCCTCAGAGATTAGTGCTTCACATAACTTGGCTGACTTGGGTCACAACTCTCCCAGGTCTGTGTTGTAATCCTTCAGCTAATGCAATGGCACAGTGGCCTTCCCACCCCCAACATAATCCAACTTTCTTCCATGTCAGGAGGAAAAAAAAAAAAAAAAAGAAGAAAAAAAAAAGCCCCCCCCTCTAATAATAGGAAAAAAAAAAAAAAAAAAAGGATTGTACAAGAAGGTAATTTATTTCTGATGTTTCCTTCAAGGATCACAACCACAGCCGCTCCCTCTCCTTCACATCAAAAGATAATCCTCCCACCTCCTCCTTGTACACATTCAAGTTCTCCAGCCTCTTCCTCATTACATAAGGAACATGCATAATCCTTCTCCTCCCACAGAACATCTCGAGGAACACAATCCTCCTCCTCCCCCTCAGTTGCATGAAGTTTAATCCCAACACTGATAACACTACTGGCTCAATAGCCATCAGCACAGTGAGAAGAAAAGGAACAAAGCACAAACTCTGTACTGGCTTAGACTGTATCCTCATATGCGTGATGACTTGTTTTCTACTCAGCCTTCATATTCTGCTTCACACCTGCAATTAAAAACAGCTTTTCTGTATGAATTCTGTCTTTTTCTTTTTTTCTTTTTGTATTTAGTGAGGGATGAGAGAAAAACTGTGTGTTGTTCTTTTATTAGTGAATAGAAGATTTTGTTTTGTTTTTTCAGTGGCATTTTATGGCCGTATTTTACAGACAAGTTCATGGTAAGTTCAGAGGAAAGAAATTTTCAAAGAAAATCTAGCACAAAGGATTGTGGGGAATGATATGGAAAGTTGACAAAACGATGATAAACAATGAAAAAAAAAGAAATAATTAACTGGGTTGAAACACTGCATCAGTATTTATCACATTGTTAACTTTTCTTAGGAAAAATGCTTTATTGTCTGCAGTTTTAGAAAGAGATCTTAACCCAGGCTATGAAGCAGAATGCTGCATATATAATGGCTTTGAAACATGATTTTATATATAGAGAGAGAAAAAAAAAAAAAGAAAGAAAATGGCAAATATGTCTCTATGAGATAAGACTTTCAGAACAAAATATAATACATGGAAATCCTTTCTTGAAGTGCTTTGTGGTCCCAAGGAGGTAGGAAACTTGAAACAGTAGGGTTAGAGTAAACACAAGTCTAAACAAGGTGTGAAAAATTGGGGCACGGGCAGAAACAAAAAGTCTGAAGAAAGCAGCTAAGAGAAGTGAGGGAATGACTCACTTGAGAGTGAGAGAGAAGTTACGTGGACATGGCTAATCAATTTCCAGTTACTTTAATAACTCCGTTGCAAACAAATAAAGAAGGTCTATGCCCACCATTTAGAAAGGGTAGCAAGAAAATTAAGAGTAAGTGGACAGCTGGGCACTCAGAACTCCTAGATCTAATTCCAGTCTGTGTATGTCAAACTGGTTAAGACATACCATCTCTTAGACCAATTCCCTTCACGCCTAAATGGGTGATAATATTTTCTTCTTGTGTGCTATCAAGATGAATTAACTAAATTATATTAATTAAGGCTACCTCACTGTCCTCCTACAAATCTTCTGGCAAGGCTCCTTCCTTGCCTTGATGTCTACAAAGGATATATTGACTGCTGGGCAGCTGGTGCACTAAGATATTTGCCTATTTTAGCTATGTCCACATTAGCAAGCACTTTGGTGCAACAGAGGTAGAAAAGCAGATCATAGCAGTTGATGTTAGGGTGTCTATATCTGTATTATCTGTGGCTCAGGGATTAGATTCATCCCTTTCATCTGTACTAAATGTCCTCACCATGCCTACAGTTCAAATTAGTTTCAAGGGACCGACTACTGGTTTAGATCCCTGTATTTTCCATCAGTGCCTAGAGCAACTTGGGTATGTTTCTGGAAAAGAGCTTCCACTTTATTTTCCTCCAGCAGTATCTAGTTCAACACAACCCAAAACCCTTCTTCAAACCATGCTGACAGAATAAGTAAAGACAACCAGGGAGATTTTCTTCAAAACCACACCACTGCTCCAAATTAAAATGCTAATATGTGAGCAACTAATGCTGACTAATATTATATCTTTTTTTTTTTTTTCCCTGCATTTGCTGTATCTCCTTATCTATATCCTGTTTCTTTTTGTTGGTGGTGGTTTTTGCTTGTTTGCTTGTTTTTGTTGTTGTTGCTGTTTTTTGTTTGTTTGTTTGTTTTTCTTAATCTTCAAGATATGTTCAAGTTCCATACCATGTAAGGTTTCATTGGTGAAGTCACTCTATGAAGACTGCTCCTGGCTGCAGTTTACAAGGATTCACAAGCAGCTGCAATGGCACAACTTAAAGCACAAATTATCAGGGTGCAAAAGGCAGAAAGAAACTTCTGGTGCCAGCCATTTTAGACCACTTTTGCCAATTCAGCGTGGCTTGGCCTAGGGCAGTAAATGTTTTGGACAGTACTTAACACAATCAGGTCCTACTCCACTATGTGGTTCCTGTCACAATATCTTTACTCAAATGCCAAAACCATATTGAAAAATTATTTGGTTCAGAGTCTGTAAAAATAATTTTCTCAATAATAATGTATTAAAATGTATTTAAATAGTAGTGGTAATGATTTGTCTTATTTATGCCAGTACATTTTATCTCCCAACTTATTATCCATATGAGAGGACATTTACCTGCCAATATAAACTCTGTTGTAGAGTTTAACCTATCTGTCGAAGGAACTGATAACGTTTAGAATTGTTTCAAGTATACTCAGCTCTGTTCTATTTTGAATGTGAAACAATTACTTGGAAGTGACTATAGAAGACATTTGATAAGGACTACGTTGAAAGTGTTTAGTAAGTACAGAAAAAGGATAACATCTTGATACAGGCCAAACAATACCGGAAGTAGGAAGACTTCAACTTTGTTGTTACTGTGGTTTTTTTTACTGCAAGAGGTGGAGACTTCTATTCTTCATGTAAAAAATCACTCAGAAATCAACAATAATGAGGAGTTTGTTCACAAAAGTAACTTTGAGCACCAGAAAAGTCAATCTTCTTTGGTTACTTATAACCAGTGAAGAGAAAAAAGCTTATTCAGGGAATAATTCAGAGCAGCTAAACTAAAAATTATGTCTGAATCATGCTCTACCCATGTCCTTCCCTACTAAGAAAGAAACAGATGAAGACAGCCTTGAACTGGCCCTTCTGAATAACCCCTCATTGTAAAGTGTTCCCCTATACATAAACATTAACCAGAAGATTTAAAATATATTGAACTCTGAGTGCCAGATCTCATTGAAATAGTCTCAAATTCTAACATTTCAATGGGACTTGCCATTAAAAATTCTTCAGTAACTCTGCAAAGTAGAAACATTTCAGTTTTGAGAGGTATTGATTTGTATCCAATTGTAGAATATGTTTTACTTTATCAATATTCTTGTGGACTCCTTCTACTGACATTCACTTAAGGTCTGCATATATCGAATCTGCCTTCACACTTACCAGGACAAAAAGGATGAGTGGCTTTGTACAAATAAGCACAAGGTCTTGCTCACTCAGCATTCGTAGTGATAAGGAGGCAACAATACTATGCCTCTAACTTTTTGAAATATTAGAGGATTTTTTTTCTTTTGGATTTTGTATGAAGTTGTTGTTGTAAATAACAATAAATCATAATATGTAAAGTAGATATTAAGTTACCCACTACTAAGCCCCTAAGGATCCAAAAAGTCTTAAAAAGCAGAGGAAATCAAAAAGTAAGTAAGTCTTTTACTTTCATGTTTCTGATCGTCATTGTCTTTCTGCTTCTAAATTCAACACAACTTTGCTCATTATTTCTTGGGTTCTCAGAATGAAGTATTTGCAGAGACCAAATCCCTGTGTGACCCAGAAACATCACTACTTTCCAAAAATATAATGACATGGTAACCTATTAATGCAAACCTGATGCTTTGCATCCGTTTCACTAAATCACACCAAAACGTTCCATTGTGA